CTCAAGGCACATCTTCCTAGAAAATGTGTTTGTGTGTGCCAGGAACAATTTCTCTTCTTTCCCACAACTTGTAGGTCAGAGAAGCAGAGCTTGGAATGCAGCCTGTTGGAGGCTCAGCAGCAGGTATTGAAGCTGGAGATCACCAGGAGCCACCTGGAAGGCCAAGTTCGCACAGCCATGCAGGCCAAGGAGGTGATACTTGGTGAGAGCCTCGTGCGCTGTGTGTCTGGCGATGGCCCTGCCTAGTGCAGTTGCTGTGAAAGCAGCTCTGTGCGCAGGGCTTCCAAGGAGTGAAGGAGCTGGGAACAGGTCCCTCCTTGGCTAAAACGGAAAGGGCTTAAGGTCAGCAGAGTCTCTGAGTGTTGTTCATGCTTGCAGAGGATGTGAGGGGCCTTCGTCGGGAGCTGCAAGCTCTAAGATCTCTCAGCCAGCAGCAACTGGAAGAAATGGCTCAGCAGCTCCGCTCTGCAGAAGAGCAGTTCAGCCAGGGTCTGAGACAATGGCAATCTGCTCAGGAAGAGGAAAAGAGGAAGCTCCTGCAAGAACAGGTAGGAAACAATATGCACCTGAATTTTTCAGGCAAGCGTGGTGGGCTGGCATAGGAGAATAGCAGCCTGAGTATGTGACACAGTGGCAAGGCTCTACTATAGGCCAGATGTTGCTGGGCCAGGCAGCAGAGGGCTTCAAGGGCTCAGAGTTGAGGGGCTGAGAATGGCCAGAGGGAGCTGCTGGGACACTGAATGCAGCCACGGTTTCAGGGTGTGAAAAAGCCGAGGTCTCCTGGAGGCTGGGTGCTGCCCACACAAAGCATGGCAGCAGAGAAGGAGCAGGATGTTTCCAATGCCCTCGTGCCATGCAGCAGTCTGCTGACCTTGCTGCCAACTGCAGTCCCAGCAACTGGGTTCCTTGCTTTCTGTCCTTCCACGGTGGACAGAGGTCTTCCCTTTGGCCTTGAAGCACTCTCAGCAGGCCCCATGTTGCTGGTATTTCAGCTGGTGGCCTGTCTTGTGACTAAGGCATGGGGGTGCTGGCCTTGTCGTCATCCTGCAGTCCACCTGCAGCTTTTCCTTGATCAAAGGACAGGGGGACACTGAGAACACAGCCTCTGAGAAGAGGCAAAAATCCTGAGGAGGGAGGGGCCTGATCAAACAGGCAGCCGTCAAAGTGGCAAAGGAAGGTGGCATCTCCTTTCCTTCCACTTGCTGACCCTCCTACTGAGTTTCTCGTTAGGACAGGAGTTGTGGCGGGCACAAAGCCACTACTGTGAACTCTTTAGTAGGAGGGTTGTGGGTATGATGCAACTTGCCTTATTTTCTCTGGGGAGAATGGCTGGGCCTTCATCTGGAAGCATCTATTCCTCTCATCAGGAAAGGCAGCTGGAACAACAGCGTTTGGAGGCTTGGGAGCAGCTGGAGCAAAGGGAGAACCTGGTGGCAGAGGTACAGAGGGAGCAGGAGAAAAGGTTGCTTGAGATGAAGCAGGAAGTTGCCATCTTGCAAGCGGAACAAGAAGAGATAAGAACTAGAGCCAGCCAAGAGGCAACGCGTGTGCAAAGAGAGTTTCTGTGTTGTTTTGGGCTCCTCTGGGCTCCTTGTGGGCACTGCTTTCCTGGACACTGTCTGGGTGGGATTGTCCCTTAGCTGTCCCTAGTTCAACAAGAGAAAAAGAGCAAAATGCTTTTGGGAAA